TGTCAGCACCACCCGCCAGCTGAGGCGCCTCTCCCTCCCGCCTCTTCCTCTTCTGTCTGTAGCCATTTTGGCCCAAGCGCCCCGCTGTAGCGGAAGCGCTGCTGTCCCCCTCTGCTGAAGTGGCGCCGCTTGCGTCGCGCCTGTCGCCCTCCAGCTGTCGGCCGGGTGTCGGCGCTAATCAATGGCGCCGCCGTGGTGTGTTTCCATTTGGGGGCGCACCCCCGCGATTCGCCCGAGCACGAAAACAATAGCTGACAGCACAAGCTGACACTGCATCTCAATCGTCTCAGCGGCTTCCGTCACTGCCGAACTCCAACAGCCAGACAGCCAGTCCACATTGCGGCGCAGCTGACTTCGCCGCGGGCCACCTCTGAAACCCCTGGCGCCCCGAAGCGGCGGTCCTTCCCCCCGTGGGTTCCGAAACCTGCAAGCCCCCCCCCCTCCCGCCCCTGCCGTGAGTTGCACCCCTGCGGCGCCCAACGAGCCTGGAGCGCCATAGGCGCGCGGGCCTTTGCAGAACTCCTGTCGCTTCCTCGCTCATGTCAAGCCCTCTCTTGCCGCAGACTCGTATCTGGCGACGGTGCCGCCTCAAAATGCCCTGGCTGCGAAATCGTCAAACTTGTGATCGTTACTGTGGCGACGGCACCTTTGTTGAACCACTGCGTGCCCTCGGTGCACAATGGCAAGAAGCTGGCATAAGAATCGCCCGCCAGCGAAGACCGCGAAGACCTGCTTTCGCATTGTTTAATTTGGCGCTGGTGTCGTAAACAACTGCCTCACGGTGCAAACTAAATAAGACCGTCGGTGCGTGCACGTTTATTATTGTCGTGTCATTCTTTTGTTTTCCCAACCCGTTTGTGAGATGGGCCTTCGTTCTGAATCTGCAGCGCCGCGCGTCTCTTCTCGTCCTCCCCTCCTCCTCCTCCGCCCTCCTACCTCCTCCTCCTACCTCATCCACCTCTCCTCCGATCCCTCTTCTTCTTATCTGGTTCCTCCTCCTCCTCCCCATCCTCCCTTCTCTTCCTCCTTCTCTTCCTCTTTCTTTTCTCCTCATGCTCGTCCTCCGTCCTCCCATCGCTGCTGCTCCTCATCATCCGTTTCTCTCGGTCCTTCCAGCGCTGCTGCTCCTGCTGGTTCTGCTGCAGTTGTTTCCGCACGAGCCTCCACTTTTTCCTGCCCCCTAACAGGGAGCACCACCTATGGCCCCATTGTGCGTGCTCGCATGGCGTCCCCCCGCCTATTTCAGCACCTTTCGCACGTTTCGTGCCCCCAGATGGCCTGAGTTGGCGTGCTCGCATGGTGTCCCCCCGCATATTTCGACTCACCCCTCACACGCTTCGTGCCCCACAGGGAGCTTCACCTACGGCCCCAGAGGGCGTGCTCGCATGGCGTCCATCCGCCCATTTCGGCACACCCCTCACGCGCTTCGTGCTCCACAAGGGGGCTGCACCTGTATGGCCCAAGTGGGCGTGTTCGCACGGCGTCGCCTTCGCATGGCGTCCACCATGGGCCCCGCGAAGTATGCTTCCTCGTTTCCCTGTCCCCATTTTGCTCCGCCTCCAGTTCATCGTGGTCTTCCCCTTTGTGACTCGATGTGTGAGAATCAATGAGTGGCTGGCCGCATTTGGCCGCACTGCGGTCAAATGCGGCCGCATTTGGCGGACTTGTAAGGGGTATTGCAGATCCTTCACCGCGCTCTTGTGGATTGAGTGGTCCCGTTTATAGTCGCCTTGCTTTTAAAAAGGGCTGGATTCTTCGTCATGCTATTTGGCCCGGGATGGCGGCGCAATGCGGCCGGGCAACACGTGGCACATCTGGGCGATCCAGAAATCCTGAACCCCCAACATAATCATCTCGTTTGGGGGCGACTTTTCTGCCGCCGGCGGAGGCGCCGTCGCTTTGATTACGCAAGTTTTCCGCCGAGGAGGAGATAACAACTCCTTCGACTGTCGAATGCGAGGCCTCTATGTAGAACCGTATTGGTTGTTCTCTTGCGTGTCATTCCTTTTGGTGCAGGGGCGGATCCGCGGCTGCGCATACGCGCTGCTGGCGGCCTCGGATGGATAGAGGCGCGCCAGGTGACCCTGGTGCTACGGGGGCAACGCCTCTGCGCGTCCCCGTACCGTCGGTTGGCTCTGCCGCCCTTTGTTTTTTGTTGTTGTTCTCTCCCTCTCTCTCTTTCTCTTTCTCTCATCTTCTCCCCCAACATCCCAGGTGGGGTTATGGCTTTCTCGGCACACCCGCAGCGCAAGATCTTCTGGCCTCCCCACTCTCTTGTAACCATCATCCCACATCACCTTCTTTCTTTCCCCAGAACCTAAATCACTGATGCAACGGCCGCACACGGAATGACAATAGATCACCCAACGCATGGACGGCTTTTTCCAAGGCAATGGCTTCAGCAAGGAACGAAGATACAGGATCACAAATCAAAATTCCAGCGATTAAGACAAGGCTGCGTACCATCATCTTCGTCACAATCACCACACCACTATCATCAATCATCACTACCACCATCCCACCATGACCATCGGCCACCATACTCATTATCTCCGTACCGTGTTTTCACACTCGCCATCGCTGCATCACCATCATCATCATCATCATCATCCCATGTCATTGCCATCATCACTCTCACATCACTACCATCAGCGCCACCATGGCCATCATCATCATCAGCATCGTCATTACCATCATCATCAACAACATCACCATCATCATCATCATCATCATCATCAACATCATCATCATCATCATTATCATCATCATCATCATCATCATCATCATCATCATCATCATCATCATCATCATCATCATCATCACCGTCGTCATCGTCATCTTTCGGGATCACCATTACTATCACCATCATCGGCATCATCAGCATCATCGGCACCATCACCATCGCCATAAGCATCAAAAGCACCAGCATCAGCATCAGCAACAGCAGCATCATCAGCATCATCATCATCAGCATCACCATAATCATCACCAGCATCATCGCCATCATTATCACCATCATCATCATCACCATCTCCACCATTATCATCATCGCACACACACACACGTACGGTCATGCTGGGAAGTCTCAGGCGGGAGCTTCGTCTGTAAGTCTCATGCGGGAGCCCCTCCCCTATGGCCTCATGGGGCCCAGAGCGCACGTTGCCAATCTGAGCGGGTCACCGCACTCCTGCTCCAGTCATCGTTCTTTGGATCCTCAGTGCTGAATATGGCTGGCGTTTCGAATGGGACCCTCGTCTGTTAGCGCATTGCCTGGAAATCTCAAGCGGGAGCCGGCCCGCAACTCATGTTATCAACCCGCGCGGGGTATCGGGACCATGTAACTGTCGTCACTTTGGGGCTCTTCAGTTTTGAATGCGGCGGAAGTCTGAAGCGGGAGCACCGTATGCGAGTGCATTGCGATGGACACTCAGTCGGGGGCCCGTTCCGAACGGGTCATCGGAAACTCGTCACTTTCCTCAATATTGAACACATCAATCCTGAATCTGGCGCAAATTTCGGGCGGGACCTCCGTCCGTGGGTGCACTGCGGTGGGAATTCAAGCTGGACCCCCGCCCTTGTGCCCCGCAACCCCTGTCACTAATCGGAACGGCCCGTCGGAAACCCTGGAGCTGTAATCACTGTTGGGCCCTTCGGTGCTGAATGTGGCGGTTTTCTCAAGCGGGGGCCTCGTCTGTGAATGACTTGCGGGGGGGGTCTCAAGCGAGAGCCTCCTCTCTACGGGGCCTGCAACTCAAGAAATTCGTCCGAACGGGTCGTCGCAACCTTCTAACCATTGTCACTTCTGGCCTCTTGAGGCTGGCGCATTCAAGCGTTTTTTGGCGGGAGCGTCGTCTGTGATGAAATGCCGAAGCAGTCTCAAACAGGAGCTCCTTGCCGCGTACGGCCCGCGGCGCGTGTTACCAATGCGAACGGGCCATCGCAATCGCTGACATGTAATCAATTTCGGCATCTTGAAGCTTGAATACGGGGACAATCTCGAACCAGAGCCTCGTCTGTGAGTAAATGGCGATATCGCGCATGCAGAACATGCTGATCCTGCGGCCGCCCACGCAAAAGTGCCTAGAGCGCGGGCCGCTGGCTTCACTGCGGAAGGCGCTCGGGGATTTCGGCAAGAGAACGGGGAACTTCAGGGCCGAGGCGGAGCAGCTCGCGGCAGTGCTGGGCTTCGCGATGCCTCCCGCCTGAGAGCGGGCGTGAGTAACTCGAGACCTGCGGGTTTGTCCCAACGGCCTGTCCCCGCGTCCCAAGGGCTCGTGGGGTTGTTCCAACGGCCTGGCTCACGTGGTTGCCCCAGCGGCTTCGCGATCTGGCCATCGGAGAGGGCGCCCGTGCCGGCCGTGGCGGCAACGGCGCCAAGGAAATTGACTTGCGCGCCCTTGCTAAAGAGGAGGGAGAAGAGGCGGATGGGGGAGAAGTGGCTGGAGGACGAGGAAGAGGCAAAGCAGGAGACGGGAAGAGGGCCTCCGCCAAAACGAACAGGAGAAAGGCGATGAAGAGACGGGAAGAGAGCCTCCGCAATCACTAGGATGACGATGTGGTTTCCTTCCAACTTAGTTTGCTCATTCTCGTCCTCCTCCTCCTCTTGCCCACCCGCCCTCCACTCTTTCTTTTCGTGCTCCCTCCCCCCTCACCCCCGCCTTCTCTCTCTCTCTCTCTCTTTCCGTCATTCCCTCTCTTCCTCCTCTCCTCTGCGCCTCTGTTTCGACGGTGGCAACCGCACGTCGGAGGGGCAGCTGTACCCGAAACCGGGAGTGTCCAGCTCTCCAACGCTGTGCCTTGTTTGCTGGGCCGCCCGAGACTCGGCCACCTCCCTGGGGCCAGTTTTCCCATCCCGGGTCGTTTAGTATCTGTTGACGGTCTCTGGGCCCGGAAAGGGCCCCTGGAGGCCAAACATGGCTTTATTTTCCTCGACGAGAGAAGGTTGGGATAGCTGGAGCAGCGGGCGGGCGAAAGGGGGGTGGGGTGAAGTTCCCGCCCGCCTTCTGGAGCTCGATGGTCTTGCCGGCCACGCTGAGCTTGTAGGTGATGTTGAGCCCCTGGAGACGGCGGCCATGTTTTGATCGAGCGGCCACTCACTTCTCGCACCAGGCCCTTAATGCCATGGCCCTCTCTCTCTCTCTTCTTCGTATCGCTCTCGGTTTTCTTGCAGCTCGACGCACGGTTATTGAGAGCACGCTGTCTGTGAAGGAGCAGCGGAACGACCTTGGTCGCCCAGAGGAAGACGGCGCAGTCCCCCTCGCTCTCGCCTTTGGGCGCGCGGGCGGGAGGAGCAACAGGAGGGGTACAAGGGTAAGGAAGGTCTCCCCTCCCCCCCTTACCTTCCGCCTTTGCATCCTGCTCCCCCCACCCTCCTCCTTTCTTCTTCTCCTCCTCGGAGGGAGAGGGGGAGGAGGAGGGGGAGGAGATAGAAGGAGGGAGGGAGGAAGGCCTGTGGAGATATGAGCACGCGAAAGAAAAACAGTGGACTGCTGGCGAGGAAAACAGGATAAGGATGATAATTGTTTGCGATGGCTCTGATGAGGAGGAAGGAGGAGGGGGGAGGAGGAACGAGGATACGAAGTGGAGGCGTACTTTCCCAGAAGTTTGACGAATCTTCGGGGGTCTTGGATGATCTAGGACGAGCGTGAGGAGTAGGAGTAGTAGGAGGAGGAGAACGGGGAATACGACTGGGAGGAGGGACCGGGGCTACCTGCTCCTCGCCTTTCCATGCCTTCCTCCCTCCTCCAGCCTCTGCTTTCTCCTCATCTGTCCTTCTTCTTCTCCCTCTCCTTCCATCATCCCTCGCCCCTCGGTCCCTCATCCCTTCTCCTTCCCTCCCTCTCTGACTCCCGCTTCCTCCCTCATCCCTCTGCCCCCCCTCCCTCCCTTCTCTGTCTCTCTCTCTCTCTCTCTCTCCTCGTCCTTGGACACATTTGTGCGATGACCTGATACCGTCCTATCACGACGCACAACGCGCAACGGCCGTCGCTCCAAAGAGAAGCCATCAATGGCCAGCAGGCTGGCGAGGCTCGATGGCCGATGTGGTCGCTGTTCCCTTCAATGGTGCTTCTCCCGACAACTCCTGGCCGTTCCTCCTCCTCCTCCTCCTCCTCCTCGCGCCGCAATGGAGGAAAAGGCACCCGGATTGAAAGAAACAAATCCCCAGTGATCTAGGTAGAGCTCCAAGCCGAACCCTTCTAGGAGAGCTTCAAACAATACACCACCACCAGCCCTGGCCAGGGCTGGTGGCGGTGTGTTGTTGGCGTCCCTCCGACTTTCGTCCGACCTGACTCGGGCCCCGAACGAGAGCGACAACGACGGCGACGACGGTCGAGCCGGGGGGCTCGCCGGCCACGGGCGGGTCCCCCTTGCGGAACAGCTGCAGCTCCAGCTGCAGCCCGGAGACGCCCGAGCAGCAGAATCTCATGGGGTGGGGGGGGGCGGTGAGGGGAGCGTGAGGGCAGCGTGAGGGGTTGACCTGCTCAGGGATATGTGCATTTCTAATCGTGCTCATTTCTAATTGTGCTCGTTTTTGATTGTTCCTGGCCCCCTAGTGGCCAGGAAGAGGCCCAGGATAGAACACTTAGAAAAGTAAGGATCTGGGCCTCCCAAAAATCAAAGAACTTTCGAAGAACTAGAAATGAACAATGTGTAGAACCACCGACCTGGAATCAACGATGCATCGCCGATGATCGGCGATGGGTCCCGCGATAGCGAGCTGTGCCCATGGTTCTTGCTCGCAATGTCGGATCTCAAGTTCGCCCGCGCCGCGGGGCTTCCCAGACCTCCCTGCGACGTAAGGCAACTCACGACGGGCGATCTTCTTGCCATCGCTCGGACGTCCATTTCACGTCCATGTTTCGATTTCGCGCGTGTGCTTTCTCGCAGGAGGGACCAAGGCACCTCGCTGGTCCTCGCAGGGAAAGAATGAACACGCCCGAGCGATGTCAGGAACTGCTATTTCTGCACAGAGGATTCAGGCCGGGGGATCGCGGTCAGGGGCGGGCTCCCCGCCGGGCGGGCGCGGCCCAGCCCTTCATTGATCTGTCTGTCTGTATACACACATATTCAGATGGATATGCACATCCCTATATATATATATGTATGTATGTATATATATATATATATATATATATATTTATATATATATATCTGTACATACGCACACATACATGCATACACATATGTGCACACATCCACACAGCCATACATACATACAACCAGACATGCATACGTACGTCTATACATACATACAGTCACACATACTTTACATACATGTATGCATGCATACATGCATGCATGCATGCATGCATGCATGCATGCATACATACATACATGCATACATACATACACACAGACACACATACATACATACATACATACATACATGCATGCATGCATACATACATACATACATGCAGGCAGGCAGACAGGCATGCATGCATGCATGACTACCTACATACATACATGCAGACATCCATGCAGACGTACACACATACCTACATCCATACATACATACATACATACATACATGTATACATCCATACATACAAACACACATATATATAATACAGACGTGGACACACCCACCGACAGACATAAGCACATACATACACCCATACATACATACATACATACATACAGACAGACATACTCATGCATACATACATGCATTCATACATACATACATGCATGCACACCTACACACAGCATACTTGTATACAACATGACATACGTACATCCATCCATCCATACATACGCACAATATACATACATGCATACATCCATACGTACATACGTCTATATATATATATACATACATACATACGTAAATACGTACATACAGACAGACAGACAGACAGACAGACAGACAGACAGACATAGACATAGCCATATACGTACGCACGTGCATAATTACATACATGCATACATACATCAATATTTCTCTATATATATATATATATACATTCTTATTCCCCAATCAGTGCTTGCACTGAAGGGGCCCCAGCGGAAATTGGAACATTTGGCGAACATTTCCCGCCGATGTTGGTGGCCGGCTGGGTTCCTGGGTTCCCGGTTCCGGGTTCCCTGAGGCCTGGATATAGGTTCCTGGCCGATTTCGGTGGGTTCCGGGTTCCAGGGTCCCGGGTTGCTGGGCGATCTCCTCATCGATTTCTTTATCTATCCAATTTCACACCATTTATTGATTGTTTTTTTCTCTGGCTGGAGAATAGGATTGACGGATGTACGAGGTCTGGGGGGCGGCATGGGGCGAGGGGTAGCAGTGAAGAGACGAAGAGGCCGACCGACGAGGGCGAGGAGGCGGTGAACGAGCGAGAGGAGGAGGGAGAGCGAGGAGGAGGACGAGGCTCCAGGACGTGCGAGGGGGGATTGTTAGAGCTCCGAGCGGCAGGACAGGTAGGAGCAGGGGCGGCGTCCGTGGCGGAACAGCTCGAGGTCTCCGGAAGCTCCTCGAAGCAACTGGCGACCGCTGGGCGCACCAAGAACGAATAACGAAACCGGGTCCACCCCTCAGCCCCCCCCCCGAGGCCTCAAACCCAGAGGAGCGGAAGGAGCAGCCAGGAAGGAGGCGAGCGACAACACAAGACGGGTCTTACGCGAGGCGACACGGCGACCTTCCGCGGCGGCTTGCGCGGGCCAACAGCGCGGCGCGCCACATTGGAAACGAGGGAGCTTACGCGCGAACTTGACGCGGGCAGCTTACGCGCCGATGTCGGCGCAGGCGACCCCGTTGTTTTGCGACCGCCCAGGTGGAGGATGCAGGGGAGCAGGACCCCGACCCGGCGGGGGGCGACAGGGGGAAGAAACGACTGCCCGGCCCCAGGGCCAGCTCCCGCAAGCGGACCTGCAGCACCTGGGCGGTGGCTGGCCCCTCGGGGGCGGGCGGACGCCGCCTGTGCACGGCCGTCGGCGCCTCTGCGAGCTCACGGGGAGCCTCCTCTCTGGGCCTCCTGTCTGCTGTACGGCGGGCGCATGTGTTGAGAAACCTCGCCGCAAGCGACCCAGTCGGCGGCGCGCCCAGGGGGGAAGTCTGAGGGAGCAGGCCGTTGCAGAGGGCGGCGGGGCTTCTCAGGAGCCCTCGGGGCCATCTGCAGAGCCCCCTGCGTCGTCGGAGAATGCTCGGACAACTTCCGAGCCTCCTGGGAGGGCCCGCCCCCCTGCCCTCCCGCCCAGGCGCGCCGCGTTCGTAGGCCTTGCCGAAAAGAGATCTGGGGGCACACTGTTCGGTCGGCCTTGGACCTCGCAGGATGCCCCCAGAACTCCAAACGGGTGTCCAGGGACGGCTTGGGAATGAGACATTGCCGTGCGGCATGCATCCTGAATGGCCAGTGTATCTGCCTGGCGTGCCTACTGTGCTGCTGCTGGCCTTCCTCCTCCCCCTCCTCCATGCAGCACCTTCGCGTCGTGACGTCTGTGGCGCTGGCTTCTGACACCGCGCGGACCGCCTTGCCTTGAACGAGGGCGGTTCCCCGAAAGCCCCGATCGCTCGACATCGGCCGATTCCGGGGCACTGGCGGCGCTCCATCTTGAACGCCCTGCGCTGAGGTCTCCGCAGCGTCAGCGCGGTGCGAGCCTACCGCAGATCTCGGGCGTCGTGTTTTTGTGTTCTCGCAACGTGGCCCCCTCCCGAGGACCAGCTTACACCCGGAGCCGTTTGTTGACGGTCCACGGGGCTCTGCGAGGGCCTCCAAGGGCTGCAGACGAGGGAATCCTCTCCCTCGTGATTTCTTCGTGGTAAGAGATGCCTGAGTCCTCCTCCCTCCTCCTCCTCCTCCTCCTCCTCCTTTTCTCCTCCTCCTCCTCCTCCTCCTCCTCCTCTTCCTTCTCCTCCTCCTCCCTCCTCCCTCCTCCCTCCTCCCTCCTCCCTCCTCCCTCCTCCCTCCTCCTCCTCCTCCCTCCTCCCTCCTCCCTCCTCGTCGAGCATCTGCGCTCGTCAGGGGACATAGCCAGGCAGTGCCAAGGCGGGTCGCTTCTGAGGGGGTCGCCACCTTCTCCAGGGAAGAGACCTCCATCCGTCCAGAACTCCCCAGGACCCCCAAGCCGTACACGTCGGTCGGAAGAAGTAGGTAGAAACATGAAGTAGGAAGGCGGATATAGTAGATTGGGTCCAGGTCCTCCCAGAGAGAATAACAAAGCACAGCAAAAGCATATCGAGTCTTGAATTAGGAAGGCGCTTGATATATATATATATATATATATATATATATATATATATATATAATATATATATATATATATATATTGGGATCTGGGAATCCGAAAATACCTGCTTTCAACGACCGGCGTGTACGATCTGAGGTCGCGAACAAAAGAAGACGCACCCCGCACAGAGCACAGCTTGGGCCCTCGACCCCCGCCCTTCTGCGGCACCTCCCAGGCCAGATCGATCCGTGAAGGCACAGGGCCCGAGAAGGGGAAAGACGCCGAGTGTGAACACATTGCGACGCTAAGATCCCAGGGGAGACGTCCTCCTCCTCCTCCTCCTCCTCCTCCTCCTCCTCCTCCTCCTCCTCCTCCTCCTCCTCGGTCCACGACTGCCACGAGGAGGTAATGGCCCCCTGTGCTGGTGACCCCCTCACTGACATCTGGCGCCCCGACTCTTTTCGAGACGCCGGCTCCCCACCACTCGACGACTCCCCCTGGACCCTTTTCCAGCCCCAGCATTCTCTTGACGGTCCCGAAGCGCGGCAAGGGTCCCGAGAGGCCCCAAACTGACCGCCGTCGTCGTCGTCGTCGTCGTCGTCGTCGTCGTCGTCGTCGTCGTCGTCGTCGTCGTCGTCGTCGTCTATGCCCGGCGCTGCCCGGGAGAGGCCCCGCCGCCCCCTGGCGGCCGCGGGTGGCCTCGGCGAGAAATAGCTGCAGTGCAGCTGCGCACGGCTGGTCCTCGGCCGCGGCGCGCCGGGAGCCGGGCTCCCCTTGCTGCTGCAGCCCCTGCGGGGCATCCCCAGGCATGATCACGTCGTAAAAGGAATCAGGGCGGGAAATGTTTGGCTATTTTCGGCCTCGGGGGGCCCTCGCCAGGCCTCGGGACCGCCATAAAACGACTCAGGACGAAAAACCGGTCCTGGGGAAAGCATCGGGACTTCCAGGGACGCCATCCGGAAAAAATCAGGACGTCGCATGTCTGGGTAGGGAACTCTGGCGGGCCCAGGAGCGCATCAGTGCAAAGAGCTCCTGGTCGTCTAGTTGGGGATCGGAGGAGTCGCCCGGCCTGCCGATGGGGGGCAATCTGGGGCCTGGCTTGTGGAAGACGCTGTTTTTGTTGTTGTGGCAGTGGTGATGGTGATGGTGATGGTGATGGTGGTTCTGGTTGTGGTTGTGGTTGTGGTTGTGGTTGTGGTTGTGGTTGTGGTTGTGGTGGTGGTGGTTGTGGTTGTGGTTGTGGTGGTTGTTGTTGTTGTTGAACATTATTAATTCTAAAGAATAATTATTGTTGGGACCCCTGGTGCACGGCCCCCCCGCCGCGCCTAGGCCGCAGCTACATTTTCATCATTTTTTCGCGAAAGCTTCAGAAAAGTGGATGGGGTCCAGATCCGGTTGTTTTGTTGTAATCCGTTTTCCCTTGCAAAAAACACTATAAAATGACATTTCTTGTTCTAATATAATCAAATTTCAAGAATCCCTTGCAAAAAATAAGGTAAAGTGGACATTCGCGCGCGCAAGACGAAATCCTTCCAAAAGCTTAGTGTTCGGAGCGATTTTAACATAAAAACATCAAAAAACCAATGGTTTTTCAACAAAAAAATGTCAAAATCTCATCCCGCGCGCTCTTGCGGATTCGTAGGAAAACCAACACTTTTTAAACATTTCTGTCAAACGGGCTTTTGCGAGCAACTTTTTCGAACTTCTGCGACAACGGTTGCGCACCTGCCAGGGCCATCATCCCTGTCAAATAATACCATGCGGGACACATTCGTTTTTTTTCGCGCGCGCACGCCGAAATCTCCAAAAACCATTGGGTTCTTAAGAATTTTAGCACCGCGCATCATTATGACCAAGTTCTGTGGGTGTGTACCCCACGCCAGTGTAGTAGCCACGGTCGTCCGCACGCCACGAAGTGAAGTGTCCCAACGTCATAGGGCGGGAAGCTGGGTTTGGGTGGTCGCGAAGAGTCGTTTGGATATTTGGTAGAGCTTGTAATGCCCCCCCACGAAGTGGGGGTATTGCCTGGTGTCGTATGAAAACCCTGGCACTGGGGAGAACACCACGCGTTCGGGTAAAATGATTGTTGTTGTTGTTGTTGTTGTTGTTGTTGAACACTATTACTTCTAAAGAATTATTATTGTTGGACCCCCTGGTGCACGCCCCCCGCCCAAAACCTAGGCCGCAGCTACATTTTCATCATTTTTCTGCGAAAGCTTCAGAAAAGTGGATTACCCCCGGATCCGGTTTTTTGTTGACGCTCGTTTTCCCTTGCAAAAAACAATAGAAAATGAAAATTCTTGTTCTTAGTTGATCAAATTTCAAGAATCCCTTGCAAAAAATAAGGTAAAGTGGACATTCGCGCTCGCAAGACGAAATCCTTCCAAAACCTTAGGTTTCGTAACGATTTTAACATAAAAACATCAAAAACCCAATGGTTTTTTAAGAAAAAATTGTCAAAATGTCCTTCCGCGCGCTCTTGCGGATTCATAGGAAACACACCACTTTTTAAACATTTCTGTCAAAAGGGTCTTTGCGTGCTACTTCTTCAGGGCACCCACGCGGCTCCGCGCCATCGCAGACGACGATGCGTCGCGCCTTTAGTATGCTTCTGGATGCGAAGACCATTCGGTTGAGTATACCCCTACGTGTGACTGGACCTGTTTGCGAAAGCAGGAGAAAGTATGGCACCCCTTTGTGTCCAGAGCCGCGCCGTCTGCGTTCTTCCTTTCTCGCTTCTCTCCTTTCCTCCTTGTCCTGCTCCTCCTCCCCCTCTTCCGCCTTGGAGCCGTATTGGAACTGTCGATGGCCATCTCCCTTTCTCCCTCGCATGTCTGCTTGTACATACGTATAATTTCAGAACTTACCGTGCATGCGATCGTTTACAACATGGTGGACCGTGCGTATGTCACGAACCTTGTATACATGTGTTTCTCTCCCTCCGTCTGGCTGTGCACGCGCGCGTTGGGCACTGAGAGTTAGGATCATAGCGCCATGAGTCTATGAGCAATGCATGCGTCATCCTTGGGACTGTATAACATCAGTGTAACACATGTACTTCTGTAATCGCATCCCCACGAATTTGCCCCAAAAATGTGACCAACTATCTTGGCACTGCGTACCATCTCACGTGTACCGTGTACCACATCATATGTAACAGATGTGATCAACCTCTGTGGGTGTGTACCCCACGCCAGTGTAGTAGCCAGGGTCGTCCGCACGCCACGAAGTGAAGTGTCCCAACGTCATAGGGCGGGAAGCTGGGTGTGGGTGGTCTCGAAGAGTCGTTTGGATATTTGGTAGAGCTTGAACGGCCCCCCCACGAAGTGGGGGTATTGGCTGGTGTCGCAAGAAAACCCTGGCACTGGGGAGAACACTGAGCGTTCGGGTAAAATGATTGTTGTTGTTGTTGTTGTTGTCTGGCTTCCATTTCTAAATAATGCTTATTGTTGACCCCCCCCTGCGGGGCACATGGTGTATTTTCAACTGATGCACCCTTCCCCGGACTCGCACCCTGTTTTTTCATTTGAAGCGGAGGGCCATCAAATTGGGAACCCTGGCCGCCGAGTTACAACAACAACGGCTCCCGCCGGATACTTCCTCATTATTCCAGACATTGCACTCTCGCGCGGGACTTCCTCACACGTTATACAGGAATCGCGCTCTCGCACGGGACTTTCTCTCAATTCTTCATGCTTCGCGCAACCCCACCAGCCCATCCAGCAACGATGCCCAGACGAATTGCCTTGATATGTATGGGAAGTGGGGGAGCATACAGAGGAACAGAGGGCCTGGGAAACCGTCATACCCCTAGAAGAGGAGGATGAAGGAGGAATCGGAAGAGGATGAGGAGGAGGGGGAGGAGGATGAGGATGAGGAGGAAGAGGATGAGGACGACGAGGAGCACGAGGAGGAGGATGGGGAGGGGTAGGAGGTAGGAGGAGGAATAAGAGGATGATGATGATGATGACGATGCTTCTAGTGATCATGATGATGATGATGATGATGATGATGATGATGATGATGATGATGATGATGATGATGATGATGACAGTGATGTTGGTGATGACAACGATGATGATGATGATGATGCTGGTGCTGATGCTAATGATGACGACGATGATGATGCTGATGCTGATGCTGATGCTGATGCTGATGATGACGACGACGACGACGACGACGACGATGATGATGAAGGTGCTGATGCTGATGCTGATGCTGATGATGCTGCTGCTGATGATGATGATGAAGATGATGCTGCTGATGATGATGGTGATGATGCTGCTGCTGCTGATGATAATGATCATGATGATGATGCTGATGCTGATGCTGATGCTGTTGCTGCTGCTGCTGCTGATGCTGCTGATGATGATTATGCTGATGATGATGCTGCTGCTGCTGCTGCTGCTGATGATGATGATGATGATGATGATGATGATGATGATGATGATGATGATGATGATGATGATGATGATGATGATGATGTGGAGGAGGAGGAAGAGGAGGAGGAGGAGGAGGAGGAGGAGGAGGACGAGGCGGAAAAGGGCGAACAGAAGGGCCAGAGGCCTCTTGGGTGCCTCTCGGGGTCTCTTCGGATGTCACTTGGGAGTTTCCTGGAGGCCTCTTGGGGCGTCTTGGGGGCCTCGTGGTGGTCCTGGGGGCCTCTTGGAGCGTCTTGGGTGCCTCGGGGAGCCTGTGGGCCTCTTGGCGGACTCTTGGGGGCCTCTTGGGGCCACCTGGGCGCTTCTTGGGGCCCTTTTGGGGCTCTCGTGGGGCTCTTTTGGTGGCCCTAGGGAGCCTCTTGGGACTGTCGTGGAGGGCGTTGGTGAACAGAGGGGGGATCCTACTGTGTCCCCCTTCTGGGGCCATCAGAATAGCCTGTTGGGACGCTCCTGGGTCTCTCTTGGGGCGATCTTGGACGGTCTTGGGGCCGTATTGGGGGCATCTTGGGCTCCTCTCTTCGTCCATCTTGGGACCACATTGACACTTCAAAAAGCATCGGAAGCGAACAATGAAGAAGGCAACAATCATTGACTTTCCTTAGGTGTTTGAAAGATGTTGGCTCCCTTAGGAGGTCCTGAAGGGTGTCCAAAAGCACCTGGAACTGTCTTGTCGCCCTCTTGGGCCCTCTTGGAGGCATGTTGTTAGCTATCTTGAGCCATGTCGGGCTATCTTCAGCGATCTTGGAGGCCATCTTGGGCTCTATGAGGCCCTCTTATAGCCATCTCAGGCTACCTTGAAGCCCTGCCATCTCGCGAAACCCCTTTTGTCCAGATCCAAGGGAGGGGGTCGGGGGAGGGGTCAAGCTACCCACCCGCCCGCAAGCCGTCTAGCTCACTCCCACCCGCCCTCCCAACATATAAGTAACACCTGAGCCTGAGCATATTCGGCGGTCGTCATTGGATGGGCTAGGAACCAAAGCCGATCCCAGGTGCACGAAGCTTGGGGTAAGGGGAAGAAAAGGGCTTTTGGAAGTGGAAATGAGGACATCGTTAGACCACCTGCGCCCAGAGGGCTGGTGGGATTTAGTTATTCAGACGCCGCGCGGGCTCAGGATCGGTCCGGCCAGGATCAGTGTGGGTGTAGAATCGACGCCCTCGGAGACTTGGCAACCAGACGGCGCAGAAGGTGGGACCATCCGCCTCCCTCTGTAGATGGGAACGTTCGAACGTTTTTACTGAGGTTAAGACTTTTCTGGTGCTGAGATAATTCCAGTGGTTATCGGAATGCTTGGGAGGACTTGGGAGGTCCCTGGCGGCTTTCAAGCCTCGAGCGCTTCTGGAAGCCCTCGGAGATTCTCGGAGCCAATCGGATGGAACGACTTCCCAGACCTCGGGCGGCGTGACTTTGTCACAACATGGATCCCTGGATGTCTCGAAAAATCCCCCGGGGCGGATTTTCCATCTCGAGACGTTTCTTCACTGAGCCGGGGCCCTGTGATGGCCCCCGGAAGGCGAAACTTAGAGACAAACTTTCGTCGTGAGTTTTTGCGCGACGAGGGGAGTTCAAGCGGGGCGGAACGGGGGGCGGCCTTCTAAAAAGGCGGGGGAGCTCCTGAAAATGCAAGGGGCTTCTTAGCAGCTTTCCTGGGATCTCAACAGCCCTCTTCGAGGCACCTGGCGATGCAAAGAAGGCCCCTGCCTTCTGAGAAGTCCCCCCACCCCGCCCTCTTAGACGCCAACCCCGCGTGCCACCACCCCTGCGCGCCGCCGGAAAGAGGTCTGGGTCCACAGCCCCTGGCCTGGTCCGTCCTTGTCGTCGTCCTCCTCCTCCTCCTCCTCCTCCTCCTCCTCCTTCCCCCTCCCCCTCCTCCTCCTCCTCCTCCTCCTCCTCCTCCTCCTACTCTTCCTCTGCCTCCTCCTCCTCCTGCAACCCCCGCAGGCTCGAGCCAAGGCCGTGCCACTGCGGCGGAGCGTGGCCTCTTGGCCTGACCGGGCGCCGGCGCCCAGCGCTGGGGGGCCCGTGCTGTGCCCCGGAGGGCTGCGGGGCTGCCCGGCGAGCGTTTTCCTATACAGTCGGCCTTGATTGGACAGGACACGCGAGAGGACACGAGACCCTTCCGAGGGCCACATCGCCATAGGAGTGTACGAAGGCACGTGTCGCGAGGCACAGGACACAAAGGTACCCTTGAGCTGCTAGGGTCGACCTACTAATCTGGGCCGCCTGTATTCGGCGTTTTGACACTGGGCGGAAGGGGGGGACCAAGGGCTCGACTTCATTACAGTCGGGGCGTTGACCAAAGGAACCCAAACTGAGGAACGAGGCCCGTTTTTTCCATAAATTAAACTTCGATTTCCCATCGATATCATAAGGAAAACCTGAGGCAAACTGTGCAACACTTAAGGAACACGGAGCCCCTCCCCAACGAAAAGGGTTCCTTCTTCAGCGATCCGACTGTAACAGCGCGTTCCGTTTTCGTCATGGTGTTCGTTCACCCTCGTTCTGTCTTCGTTCCACCACGACGAAGTCAGAACGAAAACGGTGTGGGCGTTTTTCTATTCGGCGTTTCGACATTGGGCGGAAGGGGGGGGAGGAGGGGTCTGGCTCCGGACCTCTGCCTAGAGTTACTGTTTGCAACAGTGCGCCCTGTGGGGGGAGGCCCCACCTGCTCGAAACAGGCGCCGAAAAACAGCCAAGATCTACTCCACAGGGGGGGGGAGGGGGGGTGCGAAGGCCCGCGCCGATCGGCAAAATAATAAATACGAAAACGATCGCCTGAGCGCTCGCGAGCATTTTCGCGATCCGCTGCCGTCGGGGCTTTTTCACCTAAGGAACCCTACATGAGGAACGAGGCCCCTTTTTCTCATAAGTTATACTTCGACTTTCCCATGGAAAACCTCAGGAACATCTAAGGCAGACTGTAAAACAATCGAGGAACACCGAGCCCCTCCCCAACAAAAAGGGTTCCTTCTTCAGCGCCCCGACTGCACAGCAGGCACAAGCGATATGAAATCTCGCGTGAGCAGTCTAGGGGCACGGCTGTCGTCGAGCTCCGATGGGGTGCCCCAAGGCTCCTCTGTGGGCCCCCGGGGCGCCATCGGGGCATCGGAAGCTTCCGTGGGAAGCCTGCTAGCATGCGGGTTGCCGATCGTAGGTGATTGCTGTGAATGACACCATCTCTGCGCACAGCTGAAGCGCACACCTGGCCTGGACTGAGGTTACGTGTGGAACGTCTAGGGACCACGCGTTGGAAACACATGGGGAAACCTTGCGCATCTGGCTAGACAGCGGCCGAGTACTGAAAAGACAAACTGCCACACGTGTAACCATTACGTGTGTCATGTGTATGCAGCTTCCTGGTAAGAACCGCGAGCAGTTACATGATACCGTCCCTTCGCACAGCTGCGAGTTATATGGGCTGGAACGTGCACGCGTGACAACTTCCGATGTGCGCGGGGAAACTCACAAGAAGAGCATCCGATCCGCTCGGTCCCCTTCGTGTCGGAAATGCCAGCGCATGCCATACGTGAAACATCTATGCTGACATGTCGCCGCGGAACATCTCGCAGTCATCGGCAACTGCTGGCCCCCATGTGCAGTACGCATATCGCACACGCCACCACCAAAGCAATGATACACGTCGTTCATTTCGAATCGCGCTCATTTCTAATTGTGCTCGTTTCACTAAGTGTTCTTGGCCCCCTAGTGGCCAGGAAGAGGCCCAGGATAGAACACTTAGAAATGAAATGATTTCCTCCCCAGAAAATCAAAGAACTTCGAAAACTTAGAAATGAACAATGATATAGCGTCCCCCCAAATGAGCCATTCACGGAACAAACAACGAGTCAAGCTTCGCCAGCGCCGCGCCCGCTCCCGGGTGGTCTCAGCTTCTGCGAGGCCTTCTGGATAATCCTGTAGGGGCGCACAGACCGCTGAACTTCCCCCTGATCTTGCTCCCAACATATCTATCCTCCTTCACATTCTCATTTTTCGCCTGCACCCATGGCATGCGACCTCACCTTCGGCGCTTGAGCCTTGCCGCTTTCAACCCAAACCCTTCCCCTCCCCTCCTGCTGCTGCGCGCTCTCTTCACGCAAGCTGTGCTGCTCAGGCTTTTGCGACCTGAACTGCACATCACCCTAGCGGCTGACCGCATCAAACTCCGCAACACTTCTCGGATGGGCTAATTGGGACGTTAGTTGAAGCCGCTCGTGCATAGGCCGTCATTTGCTGACCAGTGACATCCGACCATCTCGCTCACTCTCTCTCTCTCTCTCTCGAGTCAATCGCTCTCTCTCTCTCTCTGCCTCTCTCTCTCTCGCTCTCTCTGTGCTCCATCTGTTTACATGTATGTTTGTGTGTGTTTGTCAGAGAATGGGGCCAGGCCGGTCACTCACGGATGCGGATTGTTGTTACGTTGTTGTTGCTTCGTTGTTGCCGTCTTCGCCCGCGACGTATCCCGCGACCCACCATGCGACCGAACATTCGACCAACCCGCGACCCACCCGCGACCACCCGCGTTGCTTTCATGAAAAGTCGGCGCCCGCAGCGGGCTCGCTGTGTAAAGTGTAACAGAAAATGGGCGCCTGCGGCGAGCTCCTTCAGAACTTCGCAGACTGCACTCGCTCTTCTCCGCAGTTGTGGGGGGGCTGTGTACAGGTTTCCTGCCCGCAGCCCCGAGGGAGCCGCCAGGGGTGGGGATACTCCAGGACTCGCGCCCAGATTGCGGGGACGTCTCAGGCGGCTTGCCTGTTTGCATGGGAGGGAGGAGAGAGAATGGAGGAGGGAAGGAGGAGGGAGGGAGGATGCAGGAGGGAGGGATCGGATCGGATCGGAATGCCCAGAAGGGGAAGCGCACAGCACTAAGGCCTGAACAAATCAGGACGACTAGCCAGATCTCCTGGCCTCCTTCTCCCGAACTCTCTGGAGAAGGGCCGCCATGAGGAGGAGGAGGAGGAGGAGGAGGAGGAGGAGGAGGAGGCTGTCGGAACAGTTTCTGAGGCTGTCTCGGGCGGGGCGCTGGGCTTCGGCACTCCCACGGGCGAGCCGCCAGGGATGGGGATGCTCCAGGATTCGCGCCCCGACTGTGGGGACGTCTCGGACGGCTTGCCTGCTTGCTTTCGCAACATCTTCTGCTTTCGGAACCGTGTGTGAGGCTGTCTCAGGCGTGGCGCTGGCTTCAGCGCCCCAAGGGGGAGCCGCCAAAGTGGGGATACTCCAGGATTCGCGCCCCGATTGCGGAGACGTCTCAGGCGGCTTGCCTGTTTGTATTCGCAACATCCTCTGCTTTCGGAACCGTTTGTGAGGATGTCTCAGGCGGGGCGCTGGCTTCAGCGCCCCAAGGGGGAGCCGACAGGGGATACATCACGGGCCCGTTTGCGCCCAGATTGTGGGGATGCTTCCAGCGGTTTGCCTTTTTCGGGCCCCAGGCTCGTCTGCGTTCGGAGCATTGCGGGGATGCCTCAACCAGGGCGCTGGCTCAAGCATCCCAAAAGGCCCAGACTTTGGGGATATCTCTGGCTGTCTGTTTGTTCCGGTGCCAAATACACGTAGCCTGAACTCACACTCACACTCAGACCATTCACACTCCCACTCAGACCATTCAGACCTCTCGCACCCACACTCACACTCAGATGCCACACACACACACACTGACACTCAGGCCACTGACACTCAAATGCACTCGGACCTCTCATGCTCACACCCACATTCTGACTACTCGCATTCACTCTCACTCATGCGCCCAGACTCACTCACACCCAAACCCCTTCACATTCAGACCCATTCACAGTCGGATTCACCTGTTCCCAGATTATGGTACACTGATCTGTTCTTGTTTAGACTCATTCGCACGCAGACACTCGCAGCGGAAATGGTGTGAGCAAGTCAATGCACATATGGGAATCTTCGCGTCGAATAATGATGGTCCGCGCGGTCTCACCAAGGGATGGGCCACAACATGTTGGCCAAAAGGGTGGCCCGTAGTCTCATGGCCCAAAGGGACCCTTGCTCAACAAGGGCCCGGTCCACCGAGCCCGCCACATTGGTTTGAACACAATGAGTCAGCCACAGGGACGCCCCGCTCGATGCCGTGGTGGGCCACAACTTGTCGGTCACACGCCAGGCACTGCAGTCGGTTTGGGGGCTCGAGCGTTGTGCCATGAGGGGGGGGGGGGGGGGGGGCGTTCCTCCCACCAACCAATTCGAAACCCTCTGAAGAGTTCCCCATCCCAGCGCGGTCTCGAGGCACGCTTGTGAACCCAATGCCTCGCAATCTCGGACGTTAGCCAGACTCCGTGGCTGGCAGGCAGCTTGGCACCTGTAGCGTTGTGCACGGGGGTGCGAGCCGCTCTATCCGACTGAAGGCAGATCCGTGACACTCAACAGAGAAAGGACTGGAGAGGATCTATATATGATCTACCCAAACGACCACCCTCGGGTGATAAGGTTGGTGAGTGCGGGGAAAAACAAACTGACGACAACTGCCATGGCTGTCATGATGACGATACTGGTGATGCGCCCTCGAATTGGCGACGACGCGTGGTGACGATGATGCGCCGCGATTTGATCCCACTATCGATTCGACTCGATCGATCTCGCCACGGGACGCCGACGGGACACCGACGGGACACCGACGGGACACCAACAGGACATCGACGGGACACCGACGGGACACCGACGGGAAACCGACGGGACACCGACGGATTACCGACGGGGAACCGACGGGACACCGACGTGATACCAGCGGGACACCGACGGGACAGCCACGAGGGGCGGTCCACGGCTCTGAACCGACCCGAGCCACAACGGAGTCACTCCTCTCACCCGCCTGCGCAACTTCGCCGCGCCCGCACGCACGACACGAAACCGAAACCGAAACCGATGTCCCGGTGGGGGGCTCTCAATTCCAGTTCTATCTTGACCACAACGTCCGGTATCCAGGATTATACACATACCCATACGACCACCCTTCGGGTGATAAAGAGGTTGTGTGGGGGGGAAGAGGGGGGGAACTGGGAACCAACATCTGACTCAATCGATCTCACTATTGATCTCCCTCAACGGGACACCACGGGACACCACGGGACACTTGTCGATCTCACCATCGATCTCACTATCGATCTCATGAACGATCTCACTCAACGGGACACAACGGGACACCACGGGCCACCACGGGACACCGCGGGACACCTCTCGATCTCACTATCGGCCCTACTATGGATCTAACCATCGATCTCACTCAACGGGAGACCATAGGTCACCACGGTGCACCACGGGACACCGCGGACATCTCATCGATCTCACTACCGATCTCACTATCGATCTCACTCAACGGGACACCACGGGACACCACGGGACACCTGTCGATCTCATTCTCGATCTCACTTTCTGACAGACCACAGGACACCACGGGGCACCACATCGATCTCAGTATCGATCTCAGTATCGATCTCACTCAACGGGACACCACGGGACACCTGTCGATCTCACTATCGATCTTACTTTTTGGAACACCACGGGACATCACATCGATGCAATATCGATCTCAATCTCGATCTCACTATCGATCCCACTCAACGGGACACCACGGGACACCACGGGACACCACAGGACATTACAACGCCGGACGGACGGACGGGGGGGCAACATTTGTCTTGACTTCGCCCTAGCAGCGGCAAATTCATTCCTGGACACCACGGTGCACCACGGGATACCGCGGGCCACCGCCGGACGGACGGACTGGGGAGCAACATTTGTCTTGACTTCGCCCTATCAACGGCGGGCTCATTCCTGGACACCACGGGACACCACGGGACACCACGGGACACCGCGGGCCACCGTGGGCTACCGCCGGAAGGACGGACGGGGGAGCAACATTTGTCTCGACTTCGCCCTAGGTTCTTTCTTCTCGAGCGCCCACTCAGCTTCGCCTCGCCCACACGCGCGACACGAACGAAACGAAACGATTTCCCGGTTGGGGGTTTCCGTTCCACTGCGATCTCACCCCCCAACCTCCGATATGTCGCCGCGCCGTTTGTTCGCGACGCGCCCAAATGGACGACGCCGACACCACGGCAAACCCAAAACAAACCTGCGCTCCCGACGAAGCCGGCACCGCGCCAAACCCACGGCAAACCCACCGCGCCCGAGGCAGCGTCTGCCCTGGTGGCCGAGGCGCCCTCCCAAAGACGCGGGGCCGCGCGTCGGAGCAAACGGCGGGGCGACATTTGTCAATGTATGGATGTGCGCAAGTGCGTACAACTATATATATATATGTGTAGAGAGAGTAGGTACATAACATGTCCGCAGGAATATATGCATGTATGTATGCATGTATGTTTGTATGCGCGTAAGTATATAGGTATAGCTGTAGGTCGGTCGGTAGATAGATAGGCAATGTGATTTGTAGGAATATATGTATATACGTGTGTATGTACGTATATACGTACATATGTGTGTATGATTGTGTAAGCAAATTTGTGTACAAATATGTATGAATGTATGTCTGGATGTATGGATATATGTATGTACGTAGTATGTATGTACGTATGTGTGCATGCATGTGTATATAGAAAGTGTGTGCTTGCGTACGCGTGTACAATACATACATACATATATATATATATATACATATATATATATATATATATGTATGTATGTATGTGTATATATATATATAGAGGAACGTGTGCGTTTACACACATATACATATACCCAAATATCCACCAATATATATATATATAATACACATGTACATTATGCATATCGATATAACTATACATCTGTATACGTATGGATACATAAAACAGGTGTGTATGTATGTATATATATACACTAGAACCATCGCGCGCGCTTCGCGCGCGCTATGGTTCTAGCCGGGATCACGGCAAGGCCCCGGCAGAAATATCATGGCAGGCCTTTGCTTATGTGTATATAAACGTGTATATATATATACTTATATATATATATATATATATATATCAAAGTGAGGGGGCCGAACGGTCATTCACTGTCCCGGGGTGCGTGGCTGAAGTGGGATTTCGCGGTGCGGATTCTCGTTGTTGTTGTTGTTGTTGTTTGTTGTTGTTTGTTGTTGTTGTCGTCGTCCCACCTGCAACCCGCCCCGCGACCCACCCGCGACCCACCCCGCGACCCGCGACCACCCGCGACCCACCCCCGCGACCCCGCGACCACCCGCGACCCACCCGCGACCCACCCGCGACCCACCCGCGACCCACCCCGCGACCCCCCCACGACCCGCGCCACCCGCGACCCACCCGCGACCCACCCGCCCACCCCGCGACCCGCCCGCCCACCCGCGACCCCCGCGACCCACCCGCGACCCGCGACCCCCGCGACCCACCCGCGACCCGCCCGCAACCCACCCGCGACTCACCTTCGACCCAAACCGCGTTCAAGGTACAAACCACCATTTTCGGCGCCTGCGGCGGGCTTTTTTTGCATCCCTTCCAGGTGGAGAGCCCGCGACCCACCCCGCGACCAACTCGCGACCAACCCGCGACCCAAACCACGTTCAGGGTACGAACCGCATTTTTCGGCGCCTGCGGCGGGCATCTTTTGCATTCGTTTCAGGTGGAGAGCCCGAAGCCCACCCGCGACCACGATCAGGGTACATGCCATTTTTTTCTGCGCCTGCGGCGGGCATCGTTTGCATTCGTCCCCGGTGGAGAACCCGCGGTCCACCCGCGCCCCATTCCACGTTCAGTGTACAAACCAATTTGTTCGGCGCCTGCGGCGGGCTGCTTTTGCATTCCTTCCAGGTGGAGGTGGAGAGCCCGCGACCCACCCGCGACCCAAACCACGGTCACTGAACAAACCAATGCCGCACAAGCGCGGCGGCGGATTTTTGCATGCCGTCTGCGCCCGCTTCAAGCCCCGCGCATCCACACCAGCCCGTCCAGCAACCTTGCCCTGGCGAGTTGCCTTGATCAGAGGAGTCGGGGAGCATAAAGTGGGAAAAAAGATTGCGTTGCCGTTATCTCGGGAAAGTAGGGGAGGGAGGAGGAGTAAACAGGGGACGAGGAGGACGCGAAAGAAGAGAGGATGTAAGGAGAATGTGGAGAAAGAGGAGGAGGAGGAGCAGCAGGAGGACGAGGAGGGGGAGGGGGGGGATGAGGAGGGCGAGGAGGGGGAGGAGGGGGGGGATGATGATGATGGACGACAATGGGAGGACGATGATGGAGGCCGATGAGGGGGTGGACGACAGTGGGAGGACGATGATTGAAGGACGAGGGGGGGAGAGGGAGGACGAGGAAGAAGAGGAGGACGAGGTGGAGGAGGAGGATGTCGATGACGACGAGGACGAGGACGAGGAAGAGGAGGAGGAGGAGGAGGAGGAGGAGGAGGAGGAGGACGACGAGGAGGACGAGGAGGAGAGCGCCATCGACAGGGAAGGTGGGGCCACGAGGTCCGCCGGCTCGACGACGTTCGCGTCGCCCGCGCCCGCCCCCTCACTCTTATCCGCAATTGCGGGGTGCTATATATATATATATATATATACATACATGTGCCCGTCCTTCTCCTCCTCCTCCTCCTTCTCCTCCTCCTTCTTCTCTTCTTCCTCCTCCTTCGTCCTCTTCCTCCTCCCCTTCCTCGCCTGTCTCTTTCCTCCGCTTCCTTAGTTCCCTTCCTTCTCCTCCACCACCTCCTCCTCCTTCCTCATTTGCTTCTGCTCCTCCTACACGTTCTTCTCCTCCTCCTCTTCCCTCTCCTCCTTTTCCTCTCCCTCCTCCTCCCCCTCCTCAATATCATCTGCCCTTCCTCCTCCCCCCCCCCTTCCCTGGTCCGGGCGCCCCCCGACCCGAGCGCCCTCCCCGGTCCGGATACCCCTGGGGCCCGTAGGCCCCACGACCCTTGAAGTCGGCCCCAGGAGTCCTCCGAACCCTTCGGTCCCTGGACGCTCCTGACCTCTAGGGTTGAAGAGCCTCAATCGCGACCCCGCGACCCATCGGCTTCCGAGACTCTTCGGCCCCACGACCCGCGGAGCGACGAGGAAGGACACACGGCAGAAGCAAGGGGGGGAGAGGGAGAAGTCGAGGGGAAGCAGGAGGAGGCGGAGGGAGAAGAGGGAGAGGAACAGGAGGGGGATCAGAGGAAGAGCGGCCAGAGGAAGAGCAGCCAAAGGAGGAGGATCAGAGGAAGGAGGAGGAGGGGGAGGGGCCGCCCAGGAGGGATCAGGCGCTCGAGCAAGGGGATGGGACTTATGTTCCCGGGTGTCTTCCTGGGAACATCTTGCGCGATAGAAGGAGGAGGAGTCCAAGAAAGAAGAGGAGGGAGACGAGAAGGTGGATAATATCGGCGAGGTGGAGAAACGGAGGCACGCGGAATTACATTCCCGGGAAGCTTCCCGAGAACATATTCGGTGACAGCACGAGGAGGAGGAGCCCGAGAAGGAGGAGGAGGACAGGAAGGAGGAGGTGGGCTAGAGCAGGAGGAGGAATCTCGAGAAGGAGGAGGAGGAGGACAAGGAGGAGGAGGAGGAGGAGGAGGAGGGGGAGGAGCAGGAGGATGAGAAGGACGAGGAGGACAGACACGCAGGACAAGGTGAGCGGCAGGAAGAGGAGGGGGAGCAGGACAAGCAGGACATAAGGAGTAGGCGGAAGGGAAGGAGGGTGAGGAGGAGAAGAAGGGGAGCGGGAGGAAGGGAGGTTCAGGGGGAGCAGGAGGAGATAGAAGAAGGACAGGGGGAGGTGCAGGAGTAGCATGTTGAGCAGTCGCAGCAGGAGGAGGACATGGGAAGAAAGTCGAAGAGGCAGGGTGGCGAAGAACAAAAGAAACACTCGAACGCAAGCAAAGAAATGATGTTCCCGACAGGCGTTCCGGGAGAGAGCTCCACAAGCAGGTGGGTGAGAAGGTGGAGAAGGGGAGCGGGAGGAGGGGGAAGGGGGAGTTGCGGGAGTAGCATGAAGAGCAGCCGCAGCAGGCGGAGGATCAGGGAATGACGATGGAGCAGGGCGGCGAAAAACAAAAAAAACACTCGAGGAATGCTGGTCCGGGCAATTCCGGGAATATGTTTATATTTCCTGAGACCGGGAGAGAGCTGGACAACCGGAAGAAATGAGGAGCAGGAAGGTGATAAGGCGGACGAGAAGCTGGGTGAGACGCAGTTGTTTCAAACTTCTTGGGGTATGCTTTGGAGTATCTCGGGGCCTTTTTTGGCCTCTTGGGCGGCCTGGGCATGTGGAGGGCCTCTGTGAGCTTTTTTTGTTCGCCTCTCGGGGTCCGTGTCGGAACTCCTTTGGACCGTTTTCGGTGCCTCTTGTGCCGTCTTGGGGCCCTCTTGGGCCGTCGTGGGGGCCGCTTGGAGCTCTCTGGGGCCGTCTTGGTGCGGTGTAGGAGGCGTCGTGGGCCGTCTTGGAGCGCTCTGGGGCTGGTTTTGGGCCTCCGTCCGAAGGTCAACAAGATGTCCGGGGTCGCCGCTGCCGCCTCGGAGGCCCTGGAACGACCCTGTAAAAACACAGGGAAAGTGAGCCCCGGAGCTCCTACGGGGGGCGCAGGTCCACTCCTGGGGGCATCCCTCGGAGGCCCTGGAACGCCGAAACCGTGAAAAACACAGGGAAAGTGAGCCCCGGAGCCCCTATGGAGGGCGCAGGCACACTCCTGGCGGCCTCGCTCCTGTTTCGCTGGCACACACACACACATATATATATATATATATATATATATATATATATAATGTACCATACTCCTATACCATATGTGAGTACATCTAAATAAACAAATACGAAGCACTCAGCAGTTGCGGATCAGAGGCGCCTAATCATTACAACTTCCACAACACTGGGTCGCCGCAGCCGCCGATTTTTCGTTAAAGCAATGTGGGTGGGTCGCGGGTGGGTCGCGGGTGGGTCGCAGGATGGTCGCGGGTGGGTCGTGGGAGGGTCGCGGGCCGGGTCGCGGGTGTGTCGCGGGTGTGTCGCGGGCGGGTCGTGGGTCGCGGGTGGGTCGCGGGTGGGTCGCGGGCCGGGTCGCGGATGGATCGCGGGTGGGTCGCGAGTGGGGTCGCGGGGGGACGACGACAACAAACAACAAACGACCAAAGACTAACAACAAAAACAACAACAGCAGCAACAACAACAACAATCCGCACCGCAGAACCTCACTTCAGCCACGCGCCCACGGACAGTGAATGACCGTTCGGCCCCTCACTCTGATATTCATATTTTCCGAGAGAGAGAAAGAAAGAAAGAAAGAAAGAAAGAGAGAGGGAGAGAGAGAGAGAGATAGAGAGAGATAGAGAACAACAAAAATAAAGAGAAATGAAGAGATAGAGAGAGAGAGAGAGAGAGTGCCAGAGCCGGAGCCAGGAAGATAGGGATACATAGAAAACAAGACAGAAAGAGAGAGAGAGAGAGCGGATATCGACAGAGAGAGAGAGAGAGAGCGGATATGAAGAGAGAGAGAGAGAGAGGGAGAGAGAAAGAGAAAAGGAGAGAGACAGAGGGAGGGAGAGAGAGAGAGAGAGAGAGAAAAAAAAAAAAGAGAACGAGAGAGAGGGAAACGACGAGAGAGAGAGAGAGATAGAGAAAGAGAGACTGAGAAAAAGAAGGAGAGAGGGAAGGAGAAAGGAGACAGGGAGGGAGGGAGAAAAAGAGAGAGATTATCATATCGGGTTGTCGTCAAACAGTTGCTGCGGCTGAAATTCGGCGTGTTCGGCTTCCGGGGGCCTTTTCCCAGCCCTGGGACCGCTCAGAAAAACAACGACTCAGGAGGAAAAGCTGGCCCTGGGGAAAGAGTCGAACTCCCCGCGGGCGGGCCGAACAAAAATAAGACGTCGGAGAATGGAGGGATATAGAGAGAGGCCCCTCTCCCCACGGCGTGTCCAATCTACTCGCCGCGTGGCGATGTTCTCCACCTGTGGGGGAACGCCAGCTGGGCAGCTGGCCCCTTGCCAGGCTGCGGTTAAGATGGGCGTGTCCCTCTACAGGAGGAACATCCAAATATAGTCAAACATGATATGGGGACGATTTATTGAACATTTTTTGACTCTTTTGGGTAATTGTTGAATGTGTTTAATTTTTCGCCCCAAATCCACCTGTGGGGGGACACGCCCGACCTAAGGCTACGGTGGGGGCATTGGATGAGGAACCCTTGGATAAGGAATCCATGGCCTGGAACCAGTAGAACCTCGGTCGTGGATTGCCCATAGGATGTTACCGCCACCCTCATCAGAGAAGGAATCCTCCAGGGTCTGAAGCCCTCTGGGCACATTCCTCGACCAACGCCCCCACCGTAACTCCTGGGCCTGGGAGCGGCATCGGACCCGGCTGCCAGGAGCGCCCAAAATCGAATCGATAAATCGGATCGGCGATCGACAAGAATCGGATCGGCAGAAATCGGCAGCCGAAACGGAAAAGGTCGGACCGGCAGAAATCGGCAGGCTGGTACGCGTCCAGTGAGAAATCGGACCCAAACCGGAATCCCAAGTCGAATCGAATCGGAATCGGAATCCATCGACATCGAATCGAATCGAATCGAATCGGGGACATCGACATGAGCCCTGGGCTTCTGACACCGCGCGGGTCGCCCAACCTCGAACGATGCCGGCCGACCACGCAGATCGCGCTCTATAGATTGGCCGGGCTCTGGCCGCCAGCGGCCTTCCGCCGCGTTTGTTTTCCGGGAGTGGCGGGGAAGGGAAGGGCAGGGAGGAGGCGAGCCACCGCATCTCTCCAAGCTTGCCCTCTCCCGCGCAATGTTTTGGAGAGGGGGGGAGAGGAAAAGGCAAAGACACGCGATCTATCTCATTGCTCCAGCTTCAAGCTGCCGACCGTATGCAGCCTCCCCCAGTCTGCCAGGCCCGATACAAAAACCCTGGACTCGGGCAGAGAAACAACCTCATGTGTCACGGGATCGATGCAGGAATGGCGGCATCACGAGGGAAGAGGATGAGAAGAGGAATAATAGAAAAATGGGAAGAGAGCAAGAGGAGGAGGAGGAGGAGGAGGAGGAGGAGGAGGGCGAGGAGGAGAAAGAGGAAAAGGCGGAGCAGGAAGAGGAGGCGGAGGAGGAGGGCGATGGAGGAGGAGGGCGATGGCTGAGGAGGAGGAGGAGGAGGAAAACTCCAGTGGCCTTCACGCCTTGAACGCCACCGCTCGGGGGTCGCCGCCGCGCCGCCAGTGAAGCTCACGGAGGGCAAGCATTTGTTTGATCACTGAAGGCCGACGTTGTGACACCTTTCCCGAAGGCCAGCGTGTTCGAAGGCGAAGATGCTCGAAGGCAACACTGCTTGCGTTCAGGGAGCTCACTGCAGACAATCTCCCCAACCCTCCGGGCGCAGGTGGCTTGGCGTGTGTCCTCTTCTTTTCCCCTCCTCCCCTTCAGGGAGGGGTTTACCCCTCCTCCTGCCCCCTCCCCCTGGACCTGGACCTGGACTGGGCGCTTCGCGACCGATTGGATCGTCCAAGATGGCACAAGATGGCTCCAAGAGCCCAAGATGGCCTCCACGAAGGCTCAATATAGCTCAAGATAGCCTCCAACGTGATCCAAGAGGCTCTAAGACCGCCCCAAAACGGCTCGAAGTGGCCGCGTAGCACCCCCAAGAGAGCACGCAAGAGGCCAAACATCCTTCCAACACCCAAGACAAATCCATGTGTTGTGTGTTTCCAGCTTGTTCGCTGTAGTGGATCCAAGATGACCCAAGAAGATCCCAAGAGATGCTTCAGAGGGCCCCTGGGCGGCCCCGAGAGCGACCAAAAGCGCCCCAAGTACGCCCCAAGAGGGCTCCAAGAGGTGACGTTTGGGGCTCCAGAGGGGCCGTGCTGATTAAGGCTCCCACCTTCTTTGAGCGGCCTCCTTTTTGATTTGATCCTGACCCCAGGAGGCCCCCAAGAGGCCCCTGAGCGGCCCCCAAGACACTTTAAGAGGCCTCCCAGGACCCCCCCGAGAGACATCCCAAGAGACTCTGAGAGGCATCCAAAGGGCATCTGGGCTTCTGCTCGCCCTCCTCCTCCTTTTCATCAGCCTATTCCCTCACCTTCTCCCTCCTCCTCCCCCTCCATGTCCTCCATGTCCTCCATGTCCTCCTCCTCCTCCTCCTCCTCCTCCTCCCACTCTTTGAAAGAGAACAGCTGCTCCCCTCTCTTGCTCCTGCACTCCCCTGATCACCTCACCTCTCCTGCGCACCGTTTCTGGAGGGGCTGGTGGGGCTAGGCGAAGAGTCAACAACCTGTTTGCCTCCAGTGGGAGAAACACGTTGCCTTCAGTGAAACATTGTTGCCTTCGGAGAGCTCATCACCTACAACCCTTGAACGCTAACGTCGGGGGGCCGCCACCGTGCGCCCACACCGGGCCTCACGTGCGCCGATCCCGGGCCTCACGCGGGCCTGGTCGGGACCTGGCGCTGCGCGCGCCAGAGCGGGGCGCCCTCCACTGAAGGAACAGAACACGACCTGACCAGACCATATCCAGAAGAAGACAGCTCTGGTCAAAGAGCGGGATCGACCTCGTTTCCAGTTTTACAACGGGCGCGCTGCGTGACACCCATCTGTGAGGACGACGAACCTGGAGCCTGCACTGCCCGACTAGCGCGCGGACATGGCATGACCAAACACGTTCTCGGAGGTCCGCGTGGATTCCGTAGATCGGAGCGCCGGACCCCCCTCCCCGGCGCGCAGGAAGCGCGCCAGGGGGCCGCGAGGGAGACGCCGCCGGGGCCCTCCCCACGCAGGTCCGAAAGTGTCTGTTTATGCAGTTTTCACTCGGCGGCGCGCCCTGGGGGGAAGTGAACGGGGGCGGCCCTGCCCAGAAGGCGGCGGGGCTTCTCAGACTCCCTCCAGCCTTCTGAAGAGCAGGGAGCAGTCTCTGTCCTCGGAGAGCTCTCAGAGCACGACCTCTCGGAAGGCCCGAGGCCTCCCGAGCCTTCTGAGCAGGCCCGCCCCCTCTGCATTCCCACCTGGACCTGCCCCCCTCTCAACATCCCCCCCTGTAGACGAGCGTGTTCCACCACGTCCTGGATCCGCCGCGGGGGATCTACGATAAAAAATCACATCAGAGCAGGCACGTCTTCTTCGGGAGCTGGCGAGTAGGCACTTTTTGCGAGGAGTGGAACGCGCTTAGCGACCCTGGGCTCGCCGACGATGCGTCTCCTCCTTCTCCTCCTCCCCCTCCTCCTCCTCCTCCTCCTCCAACTCCTCCTCCTCCGCCTCCTCCTCCTCCTCCTCCTCCTCCTCCTCCTCTTCATACTCCTCCTCCTCCTCCTCCTCCTCCGCCTGGGCGCGCCGCCCAATTTGGTTTCTGGATCATAACTCGGGTGTCCGGCGGCCGCTCGGGACGATCCGGGCACCCCCGGAACGCCCTCGGCGAGGCGCAGCTGCTGGCAAGCATCCCGAGGCTGGACAATCGCCGAGAACCGGCGAAAAGGTTCGAAAACCTCGAACCTCGCACACCCCTCGCTCCCCGCGTGCTCCGCGGCCCACCTCCGCCACCGCGTCCGTCACCCTCGGGACCTCGTGCTCGAGGTGGAGCAGGCGCTTGTCCACTGACGGGGGGCGCCCGGGGGCGCCCAGGGGCGCGATCGGGCGCCGCGCCTCCCTCGAGCGCGCGCCTCAGGAGGCGGAGGTGCGCGGCCGCCCACTGCGAGGGTAGGCGAGTAGCGCGCGCTGGAAGGAGGAGGAGGAGGAGGAGGTGGAGGAGGAGGAGGAGGAGGGAGTGGAGAGGAGGGGGAGGAGGAGGAGGAGGAGGAGGAGGAGGAGGAGGAGGAGGAGGAGGAGGAGGAGGAGGAGGAGGAGGAGGGCGAGGAGGAGGAGGATGGGGAGGAGAGGAGGGAGGAGGTGAAGAGGAGGAGGAAGAGGAGGAGGATGAGGAGGAGGAGGAGGAGGAGGAGGAGGCACAGGAGGGAGGAGGAGGAGGAGGAGGAGGAGGAGGCGAGAAGGAGGAGGTAGGAGGAGCAGGAGGAGGAGGAGGAGGTAGGGGAGGAGAGGCGGGAGGAGGAGGAGGAGGAGGAGGAGGAGGAGGAGGAGGACCGCGCGCGGGAAGGTGGTGGCAGAGGAGGTGGTGGAGGAGGAGGAGGAGGAGGAGGAGGAGGAGGAGGAGGAGGGAGGGCTGAGGAGGGAGGAGGAGGACGAGGAGAGGAGGAGGGGGGAGGAATAGGAAGTGGTGGAGGGGAGGAGGGGAGGAGGGAGGAGGAGGAGGAGGAGGAGGAGGAGGGGGAGCAGGATACGGTACGACGCTGGCTGGCGGGCGCCGCGCTCCGAGGTCAAGCCACGGGCGCCAGGCGTGCACAGGCGAAGAGGCAGCCTGAGCATCTGCCCGAGGTGCCAAGAAAGACGGTGGCCCCCACCCGAGAGACAGGATCTCGGAGCCCCGCAGGCACCAAAAAGAGAGGGCAGGGAAGCACAGGAGAATGAAGGTCCGCGGGGAGCACACCAGCAAGGGTGCTCCGCTCTCGCGAACCTAGTCCCCGTCCTCGAATCGATATTGAGAAGATCGGCTCGCTAGGAGCCTGGCCCAAAACGTTGCTGGGTCGGCAACATGAAGGGGACGATGGGCAGGGATCCTACGAGAATCCTGTCTGCCCTCGTCCGCTGGGTGAAACCCCGCCAGAAAATGCTTCCCGTTCCGAAGGGCACGTTCCGAAAGTCTAGATGTAGGGGCAATAGACGGGCATCCTACCAACAAATGTCCTGCCGCGCCAGTGGAAAAAATCCACTGGAAACGCAGAAGCACACGTGCCCCGAAGAGACCCAAAGACGATGCCCCCTGGCCGCGGACGCAGGAACGGGGCCCGTTTCAGGCATGGCACGGTCAGGCGCGACGGTGGCAGCCAAAGTAGGTCTGTCCCTGCGATGGCCGCCAACCCTTCTACGCTTATCAGGGCGAAACGCGGGGCCTTCATGGTCTGGGATCCCAAGATTTCTGATCGCGAGGTCTCTGTCCTTTGAGGCATCATCCTTTGCAGCAACTATCGGTTCGAAGCTGACCCGAGAACGAACGTGGCGCTCTGGCCCGCTGCTCGGGGAGAGGCTGCGTTGGCGCCGCGCGCCACGGGAAAACGGCGCCATCTCCTCGGGTCTGAGAGGCCCTTCCCGAGAGTCACGCGATCGAGCGTAGGCGGAGGAGGGGGAAGGGTGGTCACCGCCGGCAGCAACGCCAGGGCTGCGATCTTCGCGACCCAGCCTGCCTTCGCTGCCCCGGCCGCGCGCGGCGCCACCAGGGGCGCAGGGGGCGGGGGCAGACGCGGCCAAGGTCGCAGCCTTAGCAGCGCGAGTCCGAGCAGGGCAGGCACCACGAGAGAGAACACTGCGGGTGCTCTCAAGCTTCGAACCTTTCTTGCAAAACGGACATCGCCAAAACTTGGGCCCAACGGGCCGAAGGACGTCCTCGAATCGATATTGAGAAGATCGGCTCGCTAGGAGCCTGGCCCAAAACGTTGCTGGGCCGGCAACATGAAGGGGGCGATGGGCAGGGATCCTACGAGAATCCTGTCTGCCCTCGTCCGCTGGGTGAAACCCCGCCAGAAAATGCTTCCCGTTCCGAAGGGCACGTTCCGAAAGTCTAGATGTGGGGGCAATAGACGGGCATCCTACCAACAAATGTCCTGCCGTGCCAGTGGAAAAAAATCTACAGGAAACGCAGAAGCACCACGTGCCCCGAAGAGACCCAAAGACGATGCCCCCTGGCCGCGGACGCAGGAACGGGGCCCGTTTCAGGCATGGCACGGTCAGGCGCGACGGTGGCAGCCAAAGTAGGTCTGCCCCTGCGATGGCCGCCAACCCTTCTACGCTTATCAGGGCGAAACGCGGGGCCTCCACGGTCCGGGATCCCAAGATTTCTGATCGCGAGGTCTCTGTCCATTGAGGCATCATCCTTTGCAGCAACTATCGGTTCGAAGCTGACCCGAGAACGAACGTGGCGCTCTGGTCCGCTGCTCTGGGAGAGGCTGCGTTGGCGCCGCGCGCCACGGGAAAACGGCGCCATCTCCTCGGGTCTGAGAGGCCCTTCCCGAGAGTCACGCGATCGAGCGTAGGCAGAGGAGGGGGAAGGGTGGTCACCGCCGGCAGCAACGCCAGGGCTGCGACCTTCGCGACCCAGCCTGCCTCCGCTGCCCCGGCCGCGCGCGGCGCCACCAGGGGCGCAGGGGGCGGGGGCAGACGCGGCCAAGGTCGCAGCCTTAGCAGCGCGAGTCCGAGCAGGGCAGGCACCACGAGAGAGAACACTGCGGGTGCTCTCAAACTTCGAACCTTTCTTGCAAAACGGACATCGCCAAAACTTGGGCCCAA